CAAACCATGATATATATATATGGTTAAAGATGGGGAGAGCATCATCAAACCACCATCTATATATGGTTAAAAGATGGGGAGAGCATCATTAAAGAATCATCTACATATGGTTAAAAGATGGGGAGAGAATCAATAAACCACCATATATATATGGTTAAAAGATGGGGAGAGCAACAATAAACCACGATATATATATGGTTAAAGATGGGGAGAGCATCATCAAACCACCATCTATATATGGTTAAAAGATGGGGAGAGCATCATTAAAGAATCATCTACATATGGTTAAAAGATGGGGAGAGAATCAATAAACCACCATATATATATGGTTAAAAGATGGGGAGAGCAACAATAAACCACGATATATATATGGTTAAAGATGGGGAGAGCATCATCAAACCACCATCTATATATGGTTAAAAGGTGGGGAGAGCATCATCCACCACCATATATGTATGGTTAAAAGTTGGGGAGAGCATCCTCAAACCACCATCCATATATGGTTAAACGGTGGGGAGATTGCTGAGCTTCGTGTGTCTTCTAAGATGAACAACTCTCTTATCTCTTGCATAGTGAAATAACGATAGGGATTTTTCTTGTCTCCTGTGCTTTGACGTATTAAGGAATCTTTGAAGACTTGTCTTCTATAGATCTTCTCTTCCACTTAACTCACAGGTAATCAACCGGTAGATTATGACATTCTCTTTTTGGCCGATCCTGTAAGCTCGGTCCACAGCTTGAGCATCTGTAGCTGGATTCCAGCTAGGATCAAAAATCACCACTCGGCTAGCAGCTGTCAAGGTTAAACCAATCCCACCAACCTGAGTAGTAAGCAAAAAGACAGAGTAGTCTCGATCTTTCTGAAACACGCCAATTCTCTTCTCTCGCTCTGTCAAATGGGTCACTGTCCCATCAATGCGCATAAGCTTAAAGTGCCTGTGAGTTAAGATGCGCTCTATAACATCCAACATTTTTCGTGACTGGGAAAACACCAGGGTTCTATGTCCCTCGTCTCTCAGTCTTTCCAGCAGCGCCACAAGGAAACCCAGCTTTCCAGACTCCTGAAGCAGCCTCTCGTCAGAAATATGCCCAATGTTTCTCTTCATGTCTGGAAGCTCACTAGGTTCATTTTCACCAACTTCCTTTTCACTATAACTGGATGCTTCCAGCCCAAGGTGACCGCATGCGCGAGCTGACAGGAGCCGTGGGTGATCACAGAGCTTCTTCAGGATATTCAGTTCAGCCAGGGGGGACCTTTTAGATATCAACAACTCCTTGATATGATCCAAAGTTAGAAAATTCCTATATATTTCCTCTTGTACAGGTGCTAAGAACACCCATACAATAAAGTCCTTTTTTTGAGGAAGAGAAGGCATAGTAGGAGCAACATCTTTACTTTGGTCTCCAGGAAGATGACTTGGAAGTTCAGACTTATTTTGCTTCTGTATCTCATCTTTAGTCCGTCTCAGAAAATATGGCTTAATAATGGACATCAGGTTTTCTGAGATTTTAAGTCCCAGAGCTTTCTCTCCAGGACTGGCGTCTTTCGCCCTAGCTTTTGTGATAGGATTCTCATATTCCATCTGGAAGGTTTTGACTGTACCTAAAAGTGAACCTTGACAAGCAAAGTCAAAGAGAGCCCACAGTTCCTTGAGATTGTT